ATCTTTCCTGCAGCCGCTGAAGCTTGCTCGGTGCCATCCGAGGTGCACCAGGAGGGACACGCACGGGTGCACAGACCCCTGGCAGAGCTGGGGTGCTCCCTGCCAGCCCTCGTCCCCCTCCAGCCGCCCCCCTGCACCCCACTGCTGCTGACGACTTGTGTTTTCAGCTCAGTTTCTCCCCGTCCCGCACTGGTTCCTGCCCGAAGGTGTCTGAGCAACACGCGCTCGTGGAGTTCAAGCCTTCCCGCAGTGCCCGTGCAGCCAGCCCTCCGTCAGCCCCGCCGGGATCCCCAGGGCATCCCAAAATGGGTGACACTAACGCTGCAAGAAGAGTTTTACCCCAAAACAGAAGACAGGTGTAGGGATAGAGCAACAAAAAAAATTGCGGTAGTTAAACTGAGTGCAGCTGCGCTGTGTGTCGCATCTTCGTTCACTGATGTGCAGCACCCAGCAGGCTTTTAGCCTGCAAAGAGGCAGCGGCTGCAGGAGCGAGGGGCACGGGGAGCAGGCGTGCGGCTGGCACGCTGCAACCCCGCCCGGTTCTGCAGTCGTTAAAACGCTGGTTTGTAGCAAACCCTCCCGTTTCTCTCGCCTTGCCCTCGGTCCGGCCGCCCGCGCTTTGTTCCTTGCTGCTGCAAAAACTAAACCGATTGTTGGTGGCTTCGCGCTGGGCTGTCTCGGAGGGACCCGTCCACCTTCAGCTCCTCGGCTCGCACAAACCCCGTGGCTTCCATGGAGGGGGAGATCATCTCATGGGGTCCGCGTGGGTCGGGGCAGGAGTTTCTGTGGGCCACGAATCGCGTTACAAAGTCAGGTCGGACACGTCGGGTCAGCGCACGGCTCCGGTGGTGGCCCAGGGAAGGTGGTGGGAGCCGAGCGGCTGCTCCACCTCGCTCTGTGCCGCTGCTCCGGAGCGTGGCTCCTTCGGGAACAACGAAGGTGCTACTGCTGCTGCACGTACGTGGGTGGGGGTGTTGCTTGCTTCAGACACCCCAAGTTTCAGGAAAATTAATTTCTTTCACCTTGCTTCTCTCCCATGTGATGGAAGCATCACGCGGGCTGGTGTGAGCAAGCTCTCGGCATGAAAGTTCTGCAGAGGAGCAGCAGCGGTTCTGGTGCTGTGCAGGTGATGTTGAAAACAAAACTGGGAGCAGAGTGGGAGCTTGTGCTGCGGCTCTCAGCTTGAGCCCGAGCTCGAACGGCCAGAGCTTGACAAGAGGAGCGCTCGCACAACTACGCCCACATATAGACTGCACCGGCGCTATAGGTGGTATCAGGAGGTGCTTTGTAGTCACCCGCGATACCTGGCTGTTAGCGTGCAAGTGGGCACTGCTCAGGTGTCGGGGGGAGATGCAGACGTGGTTCACTCGACCTTATTTGCAAATCGTTTTATGGCTCTAAATTGTGCATGCTAATTTTATTGCACCATCCTTGTAACATGGGTGTTTGGAGGACGTTAATGCATGCATGTATACGCGTGTGTTTGGTAAATGATATTTATTTCCATTTTGGACCTCTCCTATTGCTTGAATGGCTTAAAACTGCTTTTAATTCTACAGTTACCTAAAATCCCCAGGAAAGCAGGCAAGGGCTCAGTCACGGGTGCAAGCTGGTCGGAGAGGTGGGCAATGGTGTCCGGGGGGGACCGGGGCTTCCCCCCGTGAGTTACGTTGTGCTCTGGGTATGGAGGCTGGAGCAGTGGGGGTGTAGTGCAACCGTGAGAGCGTAAAGATGCATGGCTCGTGTGCCTGTGGTTAACTAGGTTTGTTGTTTTCCCAGGTTTCTTCTTGCATATGAAATATTGGCTTTGCAGGGGTGGGCACTGAAGTTGGTTTCAAATGCTGTCTTAAATCGATTGGTGATTTATTAGAAACACACACTTTCAAATAGTTTTCAGATGTCGCTTTGCTTCTGCAGGCTTGAAGTGCTTTCTTAATTTGATTTTTTGTGTGTGACTTTGGAAGAGGGGAGAGTCCCCATTTCTGCCATGGAGGAGGCAGTGATGAGCTCCGCCAGCAGCGTGAAATCCTTCTGAGATAGTTTGAAATAGATGTGGAAATGCACCTTCAAACCGTGTCTCTTCGTAGAGTTTTTGGTGGATGCCAGGACCATTTTTTTGCTTGCTGTCCGCTTCCACGCTCTGCCCCCGGCGCCCAGTCCCTTCCTACCCCTTGCTCTTCCCGTGCCCATCACCCTCACCCAGCCTGCAGAGCCCGTGTTGGGTTACGAGCCTCCCCTCATCCCTCCTCTTGGGATGGAGCAGTTGGGGATTTGCTAATCCCCTTCTCCTTAGGAGCGCGGATTCCCTGCAGCCCCCTCGCCCCTTGCTCCCACCGCACCGAAGGACTTTCCATGTCCGATTTTAGCAGAAAGACCTTTTCACGTGGGGCTTCCCCTCGTTTCTCCGCAGGCGGTCGGTGACCGAGGGCTCTCCCGCCTGGCTGCCCATCGCTGCCCGCTCCTGCCTGGCAATGGCGACTCCGGACGTCAGCGTTCACATGGAGGAGGTGGTGGTGGTGACGACGCCCGACGGCGCGGTGGATGGAGGTGGCGTGGAGGAGGTGAAAACGGTGCTGGTCACCACCAACCTGTCCCAGCACGGGTAAGAGACGGGGTCAGCGTACGCCGAGATGATGTGCTGGAAAACCTCGCACCCGTGGTCATAGTCAGCTGAGCTGGGTGTATTTAATCACCTACTACTTACTCCTGCATCAGTTTTCGCAGCGGGGACCTCAGCGACGTCTGGGGAATCTCTGGTTCCTCGTTAGGTCCTTGCTGACGCCCCTGGGACCATACCCAGGGCTGCGGGCTCTGCAGCTCCGAGCTCGCAGAGCAGGCTCCGCTTTTTCTGTTACCACTGGTGGTTTTAAGCTGGTGTTACCCAGAATAAAAAGCAATGCAACAGTTTGTTCTGGATGGATGGGGGAAAATGTCTTTTAAAAAAAAAAAAAACAAACCCAACAAAAACCCCAAAACCAAACCAAAACGTCTTTTCTAAGTGGATGTGGATGGACGCAAATCCAGTTGGAATAGGACACTGGTAGCTAAATCAGTGTTTTTCTGCTATTTATTTCATGATTGCTTCACTAAGCTGCGAACCTCCAAGAGACGAGTCTCTGTCCGCAGCGTGGCGGGTGCGGTGCAGCAGGGCTCCTCTTCCCGAGGGTGTTTGGGGCCGTGTTTTTGGCAGAGCTCTGCAGGAACCGCCGCTGCCGCTGGCAATAGGAGTGAGAAAGGTGGCCTTGAAACCACGCGGCGTTGAACGGAGAGGCACTGCTCAAAAAACCGGAGTGAATATGTCTGACTTTTAAAGTGCTGCTGCTTTGCCCAATTTCTGCCTTTCTTGTTGGCATTTCAGATCCGGGACTGCTCTTCGTTCAGGTCTGGTCTGTTCAGCTGCAGGTTGGTCAAGTCTTTGCTTCCGTGGCCCAAGTGCCTGGCTGGTACCTTGAAGTAGCGATGGGCTCTTTGCTTTAGTTCTCTACAGTCTTTCATGGGGCAGTGCCCAGAGACATTTTAGTGCTTTGCTCTTTCGGTGAGCAGATAAATCCAAGTTCACACCTGGAGCTGGATCCGGGCAGGTTTGATGCAGAAGTCCCTCCACTTGAAATAAGTGGGTAGCGAGCGGCTGTTTATTGCTCTCCACAAAAAGGAGACATTTGTCTCCTTTCCTCAGATATGCCCTGCTGTTTCTGTGTCGGTTCGGAGCAGGGCACAGCTTTTATGTTACAGCGCGGGCACCATTCCCCGTGTTCTGCTGTAACTGGTATAAAACTCATTAACAGATGAACTTCTGGTAGGGAACGGAGGGGCAGGCAGCGGCGAGAGCCGTCAGCGCTGGGGCGGGCAGCGGGGACGCCGCGGGCAGGAGACTCTGTATCCCGGGTCTGCGAGCGCTTCCGAGAGCCTTTTCTGCTCCCGAAAGAGCGGGTGATGGTGGGGACGAAAGGCTCCGCTCCTCTTGCTTTCTGGCCCACGGTGACTTCCTTAGCTCTCCTGGTGGAGAAGCAGCCAGATGTGAAACTTGGGATGTGGCTCTTCTTGGATGCAGAACGGTTCCTGGGTTTAATGTGGCTCCAAACCTTTGCAGACCCACGCGTAGCAGCGCAGTGTTGTCCGGGAACATGGATCGTGGCAGAGGCTGGCTTAATCAGTTTGGTTTCCTTTTGATCTTATTTCCCCTCCTATTTTTCTTCGGAAACCTTTTCTCATCCTCCCAGTGTCCCCTGGCTGCTCAGGAGCAGGACAGCTCTACACAGCAGAGAGAGGATGATTTTTATTTAGTCGCAGCTACGAGCGGAACATATCTTAGAGATTCCCAAAAGTTTTCCATGCAGCTCTCTGGAGAAGGGCCGGTGGGCAGGCTCCTCGCTCCCCCGTGCTCCGGGATGGCAGCAGGTCGATGGGAAGGACGTGGATCTCGGGCTCGTGGAGCGAAGCCCGCCCGACTCCCGCTGCGCTGGCTGCTGGG